TCAAAGCAGTTTTGTTTCCGGGTTGGCTTTTAAAACCTTTGTTTATACTATGAAACATTGTCCTAATGGTAGTGTTGAAAGATATAAAGCTCATTTGGTGGCCAAGGGGTACACTCAGATTTATGGGGTGGACTACACTGAGACTTTTTCTCCTGTTGCAAAAATGGGGTCCTTGCATGTGATTGTTTGCCTTGTAGCTAATTTTGATTGACCTTTCTCCAACTTGATATCAAGAATGCCTTCTTTCATGGTAATCTTGAGGAGGAAGTTTTTATGGAGCAACCTCTTGGATATGTTGTTCGGGGGGAGGTTGGGAAGGTGTGCAGGTTGAGGAAGGCAATTTATGGCATAAAACAGTCTTCGAGCTTGGTTTGGTAGGTTTAGCAGTGTGGTACAAGGGCTTGATTTGTATCAAAGTAGTGTTGATCACTCAGTTTTCATTAGGAACACCTCAATTGATAAGATAATTCTTGTAGTGTATGTCGATGATATCATTATTATAGGGAGTGACATTAAAGGAATTCAAGATTTGAAACTTTTTCTACAACACAAGTCTCAAACAAAAGACTAGGGACAACTTAAATACTTCCTAGGGATAAGTGCCAAGGTCTAAACATGGAATTTCTCTCACAATGAAAATATGTTTTCCATTTGTTAGAGGAAACTAGGTTGTCAGGGACAAAATCAGTTGAGACCCCTATTGATCTGAACACTAGATGACAAATACTGAGGGGGCATTGTTGGAAGACCTAGGTAGATACCAAAGATTGATAGGAAAACTTATTTACCTTACTATTACTAGACCGAATATCTCCTTTAGAGTAGGAGTACTCAGCCAGTTTATGCAAAATCCAAGAACCAGTCATTGGATGGTGTAGTGAGAGTGATACATATTTGAAGAGCTGGTGTACAAAAAGGGGGGGTGAGCTGACATTGGAAGGGTGCTCTAATGCTGACTGGGTAGGATTAGTAACAGATAGGAGGTCCACCACAGGATATTGCACATTTCTTGCTGGAAATTTGATCACATGGAAAAGCAAAAAACGGTGTTGTGGCTAGAAGCAATGCTAAAGCAAAATATAGAGCGATCGCTCACACTACATGTGAACTCGTTTTGCTGAAACAGTTGTTACGAAGTTGGGGTGAATGTTCCTAAACCTATAAGGTTATTCTATGATTACCAAGCCGCTATTCACATCTCTTCTAATCCAATGTTTCATGAGAGAACGAAACACATAGAGGTAGACTGTAATTTTGTGAGAGAGAAAGTCACTAGTGGGGAGTTTATCACACCATATGTGAAATCAGAGGATCAACTAGCAGACTTCTTCACCAAAGGATTAGATCGCATGCAAATGAGTTATATTTGTGACAAGCTAGATATTTATGACATCAATGCTCCAGGTTGAAGGGGAGTGTTAAAAGAATGGGTTGTATTTATTTGTTGACAAATATATACAGAAAGCCTCTAACGACCAAACCCTCCTCTCTTCGTTTCTTTTCTCTTCTCCTCTTACTTCTCTTCTCCTACTCCATTTCTTTCTTCATTTTTATTATTTTTTTTGTGGTCGATTTCAATTACCACCAATTCATTATGCAAGTTCCCTTAAAATAACCTCATTTCTAATTTTATCCTATTCTTACTGCTCATCCATCTCAACTCCTAAACCCTACTATACTACTCATCTTATGTATTTCTCTTTTTCTTGAACACCAACTTTGTGCCCAGTAGAAGCAACACTGTTCTTGTAGCCATCTCATAAAAGCTTTCCTTCAAATTTAACAATAAATGCTACTAGGATAATTCATAATTTTCTAGCAATAGTAACAGCAAGTCCTAATCACAGCATTCCTCACATGCATTTCCACTTTGTCCACATACCTCTGATTTCATGGGTGATATTGTTTTATAAAAAAAAAGGCCATTACCCAATGTTGACCCCAGCTATTTGGAGTCTTGGGAGGGGTAGACTGGGTAGGGTCCTAACGTTTATCATTTTTTTTTGCACAAAGTGGCTGCACTGAGACTCAAATCTGTGTTCTTACGCTTGCCAGCCCAAAGATTTTCTCATTAAACCAAGTAATGGCTCCTGGTGGTGTCCTTTTATATGCAACCCTATTATGAACAATTAAACCAATATACCAAGAATGATTGGACTTTATTATGTGATGTAAAGTGATTCAAACTGAATATATAACTGAAGTTTCCTTGGATCAAACAGGAATCGGCAAGAAATGCTATAGTTCTCTCTATACAAGACTCTATCTGGGTGACTCATCCAACATTACGGACAGTCTTTAAAGATTTGGAGACACCTTAAATTTTTGTGAATGGACCTCTTCCTCTGGTCTGTTGTAAACAATAGGGGGGAATTCTGAACTTCTCCAATGCTGTATCATTGGTCCCAACCCTGATGGAGGAAGGGGGTGGCATCAAATCCATAGTCATTTGAAAATTTTTTCCAAACACTTCACACAAATTCCAGATCCACAGATAGAAAGAAGAAGATGCATGCAGCCATCATGAAATCTCGAAGGACCATGATGATGACAATAACAAACAATTATGACTATAACGATGATATAATGATGATGATGAAGATGATGACAACGACGACGATGATGAACAATGACAACAATGATGGGAATATAACATCTGGTATCAAGTTGGGATTTGGTGGAAAACTTTTGCCAAATCCTTTACAAGAAGTTCTGATTCCAGAGGAAGAAGATGCATGCAGCCAACTTAAACTCTTGTGGGACCACATTTATGATCACAACAAAGATAATGGGTCATTATCATCATCATCCAAGCCTTGCCCCAACTATATGGGGTTGGCTACATGAATCCTATTTTGCCATTCTGTTCTGTTTAATGGCATATTCATTGTTAAATTATTAGCAGATGATGGGTCTAAAATAATAAACACATTGTATTAAACTGTTATACCTAACATGAAAACACGTTACACTATCCCCTCGTGTGCAAGCAAACAAATTATATATATATATATTAAAATTGGATGGTCCATGTCGGCATGTTTCTCTTTTGAGAGAAGCTATTATCTATTTTCTCCATTTTTTGCATTTTTTTTTATTTTCTTTTGTTTTAAAAATATAAAACAGTAATCATTGCTTATCTTGATTAGATTAATAAAGTTGCACACTATTAGAAAGAGACCTTTGGGTTTTCCAAGGCCTCTTATTTTAATGCATGTTATTATTATATTTAAAAAGGGCATTTAAGAGAGAGAGAGAGACCTTTGGGTTTTCAAAGGCCTCCTATTTTAACGCATGTTATTATTACATTTAAAAGAGAGAGAAAGAGAGACAGAGAGAGACAGAGAGAGACAGAGAATAATAATAATATAAATAAAGGTTTTTAAAACCAAACTGGACAACGAACCGGTCAGAGGTCCAGTTCCCGGGTCGAACGGTACGAGCGTTCGAACTGAACGGACGGCCTATTCTGACAAAAAAAATTAAAAAATGGCCAAAACTATGGACGGTTCAAACGGTTTGACCACCCGGGTCAGCGGTTTGCTGACCAAATCAACGGTTTTTGGCAAAATAACGGTTCTAGGGTAAAATGGAACTGGCCACCTGATCGATTCCCGGTTTTTCCGATCCGGTCCGGTTTTGAAAACCATGCTATAAATCAAATAATATAAATAGGTTGAGGTTAAACAATCAAAAAAATATTAATTTAAAATCCACTAAACTTTCACTAAAAATAAATATTAACAAAACTTAGTAAATACTAAAAATGTATTTCAATTCCACTTAAAAATCCAACTTAATAAACACTAATAAAAATAAGAAATTTAAATATAAAAATATTAATTGATAGTTTTAATAATATTATTAGATAACTTATGAGTTGAGACCTTAAACGCTAATAAAAAATATTAACTGATAGTTTTAAAATACCAACAATTAATTAAAAATCCGAAAAATTCTAAAAAGCCTAAGCATAATTAAAATACTAAAAGTAATTAGGAAATATTGAAAATTAACAATATTTTATATTAAGAAGGGTATTTACTGAAAATAATTAAAAAGAACAATTAATAGTAATTTATTATTAAAAATACCAAAAATTATTAAAAAATACCCAAGCCACAAATTATTGAAAAATATTGAAAATTAGTTGTATCTTTTATTAACTATGGTATTTATTTAGTTATTTAATTTATTTTTATTGAAAGCAAATACAAATTAATTTTGTAGTTGTATTTTATTGAAAAAGTACTGAATATTAATGAAAAAGATAGGCATACTTTACAGTGTACATGTATACACAAGTATTATGTAATTACATGTTGATTATAAGATACTAAACTATAAAACAAATCAGTACATGATTTACTGACTACTTGAACCTGATTATCAAAGGAACTGAATGACAAGATATTTGAATAACCTCCCTGGTTCTACGTAAAGTGCACATACACACATATGATGATTAATAGCCCTAATTTTTTGGTCCATGGGGCAAACTGGTGACCCAGGCAGCTGACCAGGGTCCTAGGTTTTTGATATTTTAATCAACATGACAGACACATTACCCAATTGAACTGTTTTTTTTTCCTTTTTTGATCAGTAAATTACCCAGTTGAACTGTTGAACAGGTGGCTGGATAGTTGATATGGTCAATGTCTGGTTGGTTTTTAAAACACTGATTTGAATAAGTTCATATACAGTCCTTATATGTTGATCATATCAGCTGTTTAGACAAATGAAACTAAAAAATAAAAGGATTAAAGGTAGTGTCAAGTTGAGAAAGTTCAGATGGAGATTTAATTAGCCAACCTGAAACCTAGGCAAAACCAATTGGATTGGTGGTCAGTTTAAGAATTACTCCAGCCCCCTATTCCTCAGAGCAACATTACTTCCTTCTGTCTTGCCTTGATTACTATCCCATGTTAACACAAAAATTATTTCTCAAGCAGTAAAAGTATTTCAAATAATCTTTTTTAAAGAGAGAAAAAGATGCTTACTTGAATGCCATTTTGAGGTTGTGCAACAGCTATTGCTATCATGCAAGTGGGACATCTCACAATCTTCCCAAAAGTCACCTGCAAAGCCATTCAACAAATGAAATTAACACCCTGTTGCAGAACACAGATGCATTAATGTTCAAAGTTATTTGTGAACTATATGGGCTTCAATCAAAAGTCAAAGGAAAAATTGTGCCAGGTCCATAAATTTATGTGTGGCTTGAATATAAGTGATCAAGGTTAGCTTGTTTAGTGTAGTTTAAGTTTCACCAATAGGACCTTCAACTACTCTTTTTTATAATGAAAAAAGTAATTGATGAACCTACACAATGACACTTAAAACCAAGCCAAACAGGTAAATAAAAAAAGGCCACTACCCAATGTTGATACAAGCTATCAGGGTCTTGGGAGGGGTATATTGGATATGGTCTTTATCTGTTTTTTTTTCACAAAGTGGCCACTCTCAAACTCAATCCTGTGCTTTCACTCTTTCCAGCCCAAAATTTTACCATTATATTACACCAAGCAATAGCCCCTAAGCCAAACAAGCAAATACCCATCAAATTCTAAGAAGATGAAGATTGTGCTTTCACCCTAGGTAGCTATGGCTCTCTAATTTTTTTCTGAAATTTAAATTCGGAGTTGTCCTTTAGGGTCCATTTTGATAGATTTTTCTGTTCCTTTATGACACTTATCATGGGCCAGAAAGTCCATTTGCAGAAGGCTGCTTAGGAATTAAAGAATGAGTGAAAACGTGAAAGTTACAGTCAGTATCAAGTTTCAACTTTGATTTTTCTAATGTATAAAAGTATCCCATATGTACAGAGACTCCATAACAACTGAACTTTATCCATTCTTCAAGGAATGAAAATGGCCAAATCCCTCAATTTCAGGAATTTAATAGTGGAAACTGGAAAGAGACTCCAAAGTGGTGGTGCGGTTGTTAAAGAACAATAGAACAGATTCTTGGTAGTATAGAAATGCATGAAGGAGCTCCACCAACTAAGAGGAGATATGATGATCAGCTATTATTTGGTCAAAAGATCAGCAAATAGTTTTGATGATGCTTTTGCAGGGCAAGGAGTTCAAAGAAACCAATTGTTCTGGGCCTCAATCTCATAGGGTAAATGATTGTAAGGTGGATGAAGGATGAAGTTTGGGGCAGGTAGCCTACCAGTTTTATCTCAGTGGGGTGGATGGCACTTTTACTATATAATATAACTTGTATCATCTACCTATTCTTTTAATCAACTAGTAAGCACACACATGCTTTGCACGTGGCAATTCTAAATGATGATAATGATAGTAATAATGTATCCAATAATTTCTATAAACTTTATGTGTTTTTATTTTTTGTTTTTTATTATTAATCAAATGCATATTGGAAAATCCAAATCTGATTACATAAACACCTCATCCAAATATGTGATAATCGGATCAGGTTGTGAAGTTTCAAGTATCATTGACAGGCTACTTGCATGATTAGATTTTTTTTTTGTAATGTTTTATCTTTTTGGTGTATCCTGTTTTTGTTCATTTAGCAAAACAATGTAAGATTTAAATAGAGGGAATTGAATGAGGCAAGAAATAGTAGTTCAATTTACAATTTAAACCTCACAATAAATAGAGACTAAATTCAAAAATGAACATTTTAGTCAAAATAAAGTTCCGCAATCTTATCCATATTTGTAATAGTAGTGTAAATATAGAATTATAGATGTGCTCAATTTTTCCTATAATTTTCTTTTGTATTTATGTGTGTAAAAATAATTCTAACATGTCACACTTACTTTTTTGTTTAATATGATAATTATATGATATTATACATGCGCCTGAAATATTTTTTTTTGCAAAATTTATGTATTTTTTCATTTTTTTATTTTTATATTTTATTAATTTTTATTATTTATTTATGACATTAAATGTTAACACATTTGACCCAAAAGTTGAAATATTGATCTTTTCCAAGTAGTAAAATAATTTTATTTTTGGTCAATTCTAAATTATGTATTTCATTTTGATTATCAATAAAAAATTCTTGCTTAGTACATTTATTTTTTTAATTTGATTAATAAAAATATCATAAATGTGTCCAATTTTTTCTACAATTTTGTTATTTATTTCTATTTTAAAAATTTTATTACCTAACTAGGACTTCATAGGTTGATCAATTTGATTCAAATGGTTGAATTGTTTACCCACCACTTAATAAAAAATGGTTTTGTTTTTTAGTCAGTTTTAAAATATATGGGTTTATATTGTTGAAAACATTGGCATAGATCTAATTAGTAGCACTTATTAGTGAAAAATAACTTAAATATAGGATTTAATAAGAGAAAATTGGAGTTAATATCTTAAGTATAAGGCTTAAAAAGAGGGGATTAAATGAGGTGGAAAGTAATAATTGAAGTTACATTTTCAACCCTTATAATAGAGATGGACTATACACAAATATAGGCATTTTAATAAACATTAAAGCTGACATTAAATCTGTAATAAAATAACTTTTATACCATTTTTCAAACAAATAAATAGAGGGTAATTTTAGTCCAAAAAAATTTCCACTCTGCATCTGCACTTTTATATATTGTATAGATTAACAAAGATTGGTTATTTCAGATAAAAAAGGAAAAGAAAAATATCTTATGACAGATGTGATTTTTAGTTGAATTCCAAGTGTCAAAAGGCTATACTCCTACAAAGGTGCCTTCCTTCTATCAGATGGAAACATTGGAGGATGTCATAAGTTGTAATAAACTTTAGCATAGAATGTCCAGTCAAATGTTCCACAGACATGTCCGAGAATAAGAGACCATTTGATAATGGCTAAAGTGCCTGAGCGGCTTATTGCTTTGGCTTTTAGTGAATAATCCATCAAGTAGGTTGTTAACTTCTTACTGAATGAATGGTTTGTTGAATCAATTATTTTGCCCTTAAATATTTTATTTATATAACTATTTTATCCATTAAAATCCAAGTAATTAGCCATTCAGATCAGCCACTTCAGCAGTTATCAAGTGGCCCCCTGAAGTCTAGTTTTGGGTCTGGATGTTGGCATGCCGATTAAATTTGAAAAGGTTCAACTTGAGAAATCAGTAAGCAGGTATGGATATAGAATTTGAGTTTGGGTTCCATCTAGAAGAAGGAATTCTATAATCATGTTCATAAAATGTGTATTTACCTATGTAGAATTAGAATTGAATGGGTTAATTTCTGATTTTTTAACTTCTAAGCCTTCAGAAAATATCAAAACATGTAGAGACTGAGAAGTGTAGATTGTGAGCACAAATATAAAAAAATGAAAACAGCAGCTCAGAAAACCTTCACACGGTCATTATGAACTTTCGTAGAGGCATTCATGAACCATACATTCAGCCACAATCTTCAGTTAAGTTCAAAATAACCACTCTTACCTCCTCTCCAGCAGAAACCCCCACCCGACAAGCATCGCCTATTGTCCTAATAGCATCTGTAACCCGCAATGATGCTGCAAGACCCTGAACCATTGAAGCGCAAATTTGTACATTTGGCCTTGACCACTTCCATCTCTCAACGGTGTCCTGCTCACTAATACCTGTTTCATATAAAAACCCCCTCTAGTTTCAAGAAAAGACCAGAATTATAAAAATCAGAAGACTGATCTTAAGAGGAAAAGAGATAAAACGGAGTGAAATTGCTCTAATAAAGTTTATGAATATGCATTAACATCAATATTCAACAATAACTACATTGGTGATGACGGGAGCTATTCAAGAGTCAATAGTTTAGCAAATAAATGTGAATCCAAATAAGCAAGGTCAAAACAAAACAAAAAAAAAAATGCATATGAAATGTATTGAGAAATTAAGATTCAGACACACATCAGGGCAGTCCAATTTTGCTCTAATTTAATCTCTTTGCTTTAAAAAACAAATGACAAAATAAGTAAAAATGCCTATCCATAAACACAATTAACTCTGACAACACCAAATACCAATAATACCTGTAATAGAAATGACCTTCCTCTTTTGTTTCAAAAGCGGCATTAAATTTTACAAGAAAACTAACGATAGAATTGTATCAAAAAAAAAAAAAGAAAAGAAAAGAAAACCAACGAAAGAAAAATATGAAGAGAGAAGCAAAACTTGTTAATGAAATTCCCATTAACATTGTCAAGATGAAATGACAATAATAACACCGGAAAATCAATTAATCGTCAAGTTCTGGTAATTGAGCTTATCGGGAAAACAAGTTCTAACAATGGACTTCAAACGCCCATGCAAGGAAAGGGGAAAAATAAATGGTCCAAACAGAATAACCATAAAATCTCGAAAAACAGAGGAGGCAAAAGAACATGAATACACCTTCATCGAAGCTCGAACGCATGGCAGAGAAAACTGACAATGCCAAGTCGGCATTGTTTCGGCCAAACGCAGCTGTTATAATCATATAACAATCTGAAGTCCCCACAACACCTCCATTTTTCTGAGACTTCTCGGCAATCATCTCCAAGGCTTCATTTGCATCCTTTGCGCTTGACACAAGACTCAGTAACTCATCATCCAACAACCCAGAAACCGAGTTTTCAGCCTCCATATTTTCTCTCTCGCTTAAAGAAGCTCGGGTTCTGCAGTTCTTCGTGCGGGACGAAGAGGAGGAGATTGAGCAGCAGAGGTGCCTAAAGGCAGAGATTTCATAATTGCATCTGCTTAAAAGGAGAAGCAAAAGAGCGCTTTTGCCATTCGGTGAAACCGCATAGATTTTTGAGAGAGGTGAAGAGGGATGAGAGAAACGAGGATGCCAGGGAGAAAGCAAGTTCAGAGCCATAACAGCCAACCTTGAACTACAACGCGAGCTTAGTGGAAAAGTTTAAATGTAAGATGAAAGATTTGAGACGAGCTTCAATGGCGGAATATCTCGTTCTGTCTGTCTCACTGGTGTAATAGTAGTAGTGTAGTTCTAGCACTAGATGTGTAAGATGATAAGGAATTAAGGATGAGGTACGAGCGGTTCCGGGAAGGAAATGGACTTCAAATAATCAAATCGGTTAAGGGCCTTGAAGGTAAAGAGAGACGCCCATCCTGTGCAACATAAAGTACGTCGTAGATGCGTGCACCACACCATCTACACCATTGACTTCGATGTCAGAAAAAAATCAGGCTGCATTTATATAACACTAGCGGGGATCCGTTGCGATGGACAAGATTTAATTATCAAAACTGAAACAATCAAAATTATAAGGAAAGAAAAGAATGCGATGTTGTTTGAAATAATTAATTTTTATTTTAATATTTATCACAAAAAATAATTTAGTAACTTAGTAATTTTGGATTAATTATATTAATAATTTATTAATTTAGTATTGCTAATTACTTAATAAAATAATTAATTTTTCCATGTTATCTATTAGTGTTCCATTTTATTTACTTTATTTTATTAATGATTAAATATTACAATTTTTTGTCAATATTATTTAAATATTTAAAATACTTAAACATTAATAAATATATAAAATTAGGCTATAGTCAAATTTATAGATTAAGTTTTTTAGTCATAATTAAATTAATCTAAACCTAAGTTCGAGGTTTAAGACTATGGGTTAGGCTTCGGTTGATCCTCGTCATGACCCAACCCTCTCAAGTTGCACCCCTAAGAGCAATGTGACATGTGTAATTAGATTGGAGGCTCCAATTTAATTTTGATAGTGTATTAACAGTTTTTAAGGTTGCATGGCCTAATCTGGCCCTCACCTCAAATGTAATAATTCTTATCTAAGCCTAGGGCGTGGCCAAGCTTGTTCATGTTAATTATAAAGCTATGATTTCTTTTACAAATTAAATTATTTTATTTTATTTTGGTTATTATAAAAATGTATAACATTTCTATCTATATATTAATATAAAACTTGTTATCTAAGACCGTCATTGGACTCCAAAAATCCAATACCTGATTAGACTTCGAATCCGATAATCCTATATTTGGATGTTAGAACTTGCATTTGATTAAGATTGGATGTAGATTTAATCTCATCTGATATGATTAAAATAATTAGTTTTAGATATTATGTGTAATTATATAAAGTTTATAATAATAAATTCAATATTTTATATTTATATTCATTTATTATACATATATACTTTAAAATAATTAGTTTATTTACATTCCAATTTCCAGGTATTTAAAACACAATCAAATTGTTATGGATTAAATTCGAAATCCAACATAATAATCAAATGTGGATGCAAATCTAGAGATTTCATAATTGGATTGATGTTGATGTGGATGTAGCTGCATCTGATTTGAATCTAATTTGCTTAAAGCCCTACTACCTACATTATGTGTGGGCCTGGTACAAATCTAAGTAGACCTAGCTCAAAAGAAAATAGTTGTTTGAGCCTGAAAAAATGCAAGATCGGGCTAAGTTATAAATGATTTGTTAATTTATCTTCTCAATACTAATTTTTATTAATTTCTTAAATTTTAATAATTGCTAGATAAAAATTTACTAAAATTTAATATTTTATTAACTTTAGTAATTTTTTATTAATTTTAATTATTAGGTTACAAATTATAGTTTTCTAACAATTAACCAATTAAATAGAATTTGAATATAAATAAAAATTTGGATGAGAATAAAATTCTCTCTTTCTTTGGAATACAATAGACTAATAATAGAAGATGGCTATAGAAATTGTTAGATAATGTATGCCCTTAGCTCCAATCAGAATGATGTACATAAACATTTATTGTAAATGAATAAATTACATTGTTTGTTTCATGTTGATATTAATATGTTTCTGTGTATTACCCCTTAAATTGGACACTTAAGAGGCTCGTATTAGTTTAGAATGTTCTCAGCCATTGGATAGACTTAGAGAGTTTATCCTAACAAGGCTGATACTAGTGTGCTGCCAAGTAGTTGGAGTAGCTTGTCTCAACTGCTAGGGTTAGATCCAAGTACAACCGGTGTTTATTAGAAGCACTAAACACAAACTAATTTCCAGTTATGCCCTAAGCCTTTGAGATAGATGGGCAAAACTAGAAAGTTACACATAACCCCAAACTTGATTATGGTATCACACTAGGTGTTAGATTGGACTGTCTTTGATATGCCAATGAGTGAAATCCATCAAGGGTCAAATACCTGGGTATGTTGGGGCAGTCTAATAATTCACCTAAGTGGATGATCATAGTGATAGGATTGGCCCATTTGTCGGACAAAGTAAATATCATGGTTTACACTACCTCTGATGGAAACTTAAAAGGCTAGCCGGTAGTGGATTTCACCCGTGTTTGAAATTTGTTTTTTGCAAAATGTATTTATATGTTATATACTACTATTTTATGAAAAAGGTTTGTAAAATGCTTTAATCTCGAGATCCATTTGAGCAAAGAGTGTGGCACTACACCTTGCAACTAGGGGAGAGGTCATTCCCTGACAGGCAATGTTTTGATCATTATAAGCCGAGAAGTTAAGTGTAAGAGACCATTATGTTGGATTTTCATAGGGTGACTGAATCCAAGGATCACTTAAGTGTAAATGTTTTGGCCCCAAACTGAACCAATGCTAATTGGGTCAAGGGTTCATTGCCCTAAGCAATGAATTTGACCTAGCCCCTTTCAAGGGTAGGGCCAAATCCATGTAGACTTGTGTGAGATCATTGTGGGGTCCCACGCCATACAATATCAGGCCCAAAGTGGCCATGCAACACCTAGGGATGTGAGCCTTTGAAGAAAATGGGCCAAATGCCCATTACTAATTAGAATAGTTAAGGGTCAAAACTGGGTATGGTTCTGGGTATGGAGCACCTATCCTCTTAAGAGGATAATACTGACCTTTTAAAAGAGTCCATATCCAGAGCAGATTTGGATAATCTCCTATTTAGATTAGGAGAGTGCTCCATATAAGGGGGTTAAGAGGAAAAGGGCGAATGGGACTTGTTCTCTTCACTCTCTTGCTCTCTCCTCTTCTCTCTTCTCTCCTAGAAACCCTATCATGACCAAGGCTTTTCAAGAACTGATTTTTATTAGTTTTTCTTTTGAGTTTTTGCAAGAAAAACATTAGGGAAATCATGCTTACACATCCCATTCGATCCAAGCAACTTGGGTAGCAGTTTTGTTAAAAACTAAGTTGTAGTTTTCCAAGTCTAAGGGTGATATCTGATTGGACGTTGATGTTGATCTCAAGGTTCTTATTCATCTTGTGGATTGTGGTCAAATGAGGGTATTTCAAGCTTTGAAAAGTGTCAAGTTAACCTGGTTGTGTTTCCAAGTTTTTTGGGTCTAAGAGGAGGGTATAAAGAGGTAGGGTGAAGGGACCAAGCAAAAATTGGGCGCTAACAGTTGCCCCCTTTTTGTTGGAGGTAGTAAGCTGCCGAATAACAAAAAAAAAGAAGCACAAAAAGATTTTTGTAAGGGATAAGTGGTTAGAGGTCGCAATTTTGATGCTGGAATTTCAGTTAAGGTTGAATCTAATGTAGTGGAAAGCCTTTGTTTGGAATGTGTGGTATCCTAAGCCTTGGAAGGCAATTGCAACTATCAAACAAACATGAGAAAAATATAGTGGTGCCATCCTAAAAATAGCTAGCCTTAGTTGATGTTTGATTTTTTATTAATGCATGCATTGGTGATTGACGATTTGAAGGGTTTGATATGTTTAGTATGTGATGAAGCTTGTTAAGTTTTTTTATTATTTCAATGGATTTCAAATTTGTTATTTGTTGGATGCTTATAGGTTGAGTTTGTATTGGTTTGACCTTTATATGGTGTGACATTTGAATTGATGAATTGATGATTTGATGAAAGCCTATAAATTTTGATTTGAGTTTTAACGGATTTAGGTTTTTGATAATTGATGTTGAAACTTGAATTTTCTATTTGATCAGGTATAGCTCCCAAAGTATACTTGATACAAAAGTATACCTGATACAAATTCCACAAATATAGCTCCAAAAGTGGTAGTTCATGCCCAAACTGAATCCCAACACCATCCTCCACTAAAGATGGGGCAGCTTGAGATGAAGTCAGTTCAGCAGCGTAGTTTTCAGTAAAACTGTAATCCAACACTTTGAATCGTACAAGGGAGGTGAGCACGAATTTTCTTTACAATTTTCTTGCAAAATTTAGAGAAGGAACTGATAAAAAATTAGTCCAAGAAAGGGAGATCGAACTAGGGTTTCTAACAGCAAGAACAGAGAGGGAGAACTGAAAACAGAAGATGATCTGGAGCAGTTCGCCTCCTCTCCTTTTATAAGCCTTATGGAGCACCACTCCTAATCGAATTAGGAGGTTCCTAATCCAAATCTTTATTTGGATTTGGACTCTTTAAGTGGATAAGACTTGTCCTCTTATCCTAATGGGTGCTCCATACCCTTATCCAAACCTAGATTTGCCCAAGTCACATGACTGCTTAAGATGTCATGTGACACCCTAATTAATCCAATTAATCTTGGGCTTTAGGCCCATTAAACAAGTGGTTCATGTCCCTAGGTAGTTGCTGGCCCATTTAGGTTTACTTTGTATGGCGTGGGACTCCAACATTGACCTTACATAAGCCCACATGGGTTCGACCTAGCCTTTGTGAAAAGCCTTGGCTGAATTCACTGTCAAGTACAATGAACCCCTAAGTCCATCAGTATGGGCTCTTAATGGGCCCAACATTTACAATAAATGATTCTTGAGTCCAACCATCCTATGAAGGCCCAAGGACAATGAACTTAAGTAAGATATAGCCCATCAGGTAAACAACCCTTAATGGTCTCTTACACATAACCTCTTAGCCCATAATGATCAAACATTGCCCGACAGGGAAGTACCTCTCCCTTGGTTGCAATGTGCAGTGTTGCACTCTCTACTCAGATGGGTCCCAGGAATTAAAACATTTTTCTTAAAACATAATATATATTATCATATAAATATGTTTTGCAAAACAAATCTCAAACACGGTTGAAATCAACTATCGGTAGTTCTGGTTTCCATAAGAGAGAGTGTAGTCCCGATCATTCACTTTGTTCGACAAAGGAGCCGATCCTATCACTATCACTATCTTTGATATGCCAATCAGTGTTTCAAACAAACACACAC